CGGTGGTATGTACCTAGACATTGAAAGGCGACATATGAAAACTACAATACTAAAGATGCGTCCGGGAAAAGCAGCCAAGAAAGTGTCCATGCAAAGACTCTACGGCCAAATGGCAGCTGAGACAGGAGAGGGGAGGAACATATAAATAGAAGAAAGACACCAGCAGTAGAATGCAGCAGCAGATTCTCATGAGCGGCTTCGCCAGGAATAGGGTAATGGCCCTAGGGCCCACTGGTATCTAAGAAGAAGGAAAGAAATACAGAAAAGAACGGGAAGAGAAGGAAGAAAGGTCTAGAGGAAAAGGGGGAAAACACAGAGAGGCATTAAGAAAACGGAACCTCCAAAAATGTAAGCTACACTTTGGGACGCCCCTAAGCCGGTGGTATGTACCTAGACATTGAAAGGCGACATATGAAAACTACAAAACTAAAGATGCATCCGGGAAAAGCAGCCAAGAAAGTGTCCATGCAAAGACTCTACGGCCACTGAGAGGGGAGAGGGGAGGGACATATAAATAGGAGAAAGAATCCAGCAGTAGAATGCAGCAGCAGATTCTCATGAGCGGCTCCGTCAGGAAGTGGGTAATCGCCCTAGGGACCACTGGTATCTAAGAAGAAGGAAAGAAATACAGAAAAGAACGGGAAGAGAAGGGAGAAAGGTCTAGAGGAAAAAAGATGAAAACACAGAAAGGCGTTAAGAAACCGGAACCTCCAAAAATGTAAGCTACATTTTTGGACGCCCCTAAACCGGTGGTATGTACCTAGACATTGAAAGGCAACATATGAAAACTACAAAACTAAAGATGCATCCGGGAAAAGCAGCCAAGAAAGTGTCCATGCAAAGACTCTACGGCAACTGAGAGGGGAGAGGGGAGGCACATATAAATAGGAGAAAGAATCCAGCAGTAGAATCCAGCAGCAGATTCACATGAGCAGATCCGTCAGGAAGCAAGTAATGGCCCTGGGCCCACTGGTATCTAAGAAGAAGGAAAGAAAGACAGAAAAGAACGGGAAGAGAAGGAAGAAAGGTCTAGAGGAAAAGAGGGAAACACAGAGAGGCGTTAAGAAGCCGGAACCTCCAAAAATGTAAGCTACATTTTGGGACGCCCCTAAACCGGTGGTATGCACCTAGACATTGAAAGGCAACATATGAAAACTACAAAACTAAGGATGCATCCGGGAACAGCAGCCAAGAAAGTGTGCGCGAAGAGACTCTACGGCAACTGAGAGAGAGAGGGGATAGGGGAGGCACATATAAATAGGAGAAAGAATCCAGCAGTAGATTGCAGAAGCAGATTCTCATGAGCGGCTCCGTCAGGAAGCGGGTAATGGCCCTGGGCCCACTGGTATCTAAGAAGAAGGAAAGGAATACAGAAAAGAACGGGAAGAGAAGGAAGAAAGGTCTAGAGGAAAAAAGATGAAAACACAGAAAGGCGTTAAGAAACCGGAACCTCCAAAAATGTAAGCTACATTTTGGGACGCCCCTAAACCGGTGGTATGTACCTAGACATTGAAAGGCAACAAATAAAAACTACAAAACTAAAGATGCATCCGGGAACAGCAGCCAAGAAAGTTTCCATGCAAAGACTCTACGGTCAAATGCAACTGAGAGAAAGAAACCAGCAGTAGAATGCAGCAGCAGATTCTCATGAGCAGCTACGTCAGGAAGCGGGTAATGGCTCTAGGGCCCACTGGTATCTAAGAAGAAGGAAAGAAATACAGAAAAGAACGGGAAGAGAAGGAAGAAAGGTCTAGAGGAAAAACTGAAAACACAGAAAGGCGTTAAGAAAACGGAACCTCCAAAAATGTAAGCTACATTTTGGGACGCCCCTAAACCCGTGGTGTGTACCTAGACATTGAAAGGCAACACATGAAAACTACAAAACTAAGGATGCATCCGGGAACAGCAGCCAAGAAAGTGTCCACGAAGAGACTCTACGGCAACTGAGAGGGGATAGGGGAGGCACATATAAATAGGAGAAAGAATCCAGCAGTAGAATGCAGCAGCAGGTTCTCATGAGCGGCTCCGTCAGGAAGCGGGTAATGGCCCTGGGCCCACTCGTATCTAAGAAGAAGGAAAGAAATACAGAAAAGAACGGGAAGAGAAGGAAGAAAAGTCTAGAGGAAAAAAGATGAAAACACGGAAAGGCGTTAAGAAACCGGAACCTCCAAAAATGTAAGCTACATTTTGGGACGCCCCTAAACCGATGGTATGTACCTAGACATTGAAAGGCAACATATGAAAACTACAAAACTAAAGATGCATCCGGGAAAAGCAGCCAAGAAAGTTTCCATGCAAAGACTCTACGGCCAAATGACAACTGAGAGAAAGAAACCAGCAGTAGAATGCAGCAGCAGATTCTCATGAGCAGCTACATCAGGAAGCGGGTAATGGCCCTAGGGCCCACTGGTCTCTAAGAAGAAGGAACGAAATACAGAAAAGAACGGGCAGAGAAGGAAGAAATGTCTAGAGGAAAAAATGAAAACACAGAAAGGCGTTAAGAAAATGGAACCTCCAAAAATGTAAGCTACATTTTGGGACGCCCCTAAACCCGTGGTATGCACCTAGACACTGAGGCAACATATGAAATCTACAAATATCTACAGAACCAAAGATGCATAATATGGGAAAATATACAATCAATATGGAAAATTGAAAGCCACCTGGAAAGGCTACCAAAAGGTCAAAAGGCTTTGGAATGGCTCAAAGGCTTGAAACTAGGTTTGGTTGTGGAGGTGGGAGATGGCCAGGGTGGCTGGGTCATAAGAAAACCATAAGAAACGTGTAACGCTTTTGGTGTTGTTATGATTTTGATATAGTTTTGATCTGATTTTGGTATGGTTTTCCTTTTCCGAAGGATGGAGGCAGGTTCCCCAAAGCCTCCTGGAAAGGCTACCAAAAGGTCAAAAGCTCTGGAGTTGCCCAAAGGCTTGAGAAAAAAACAACAAATCATACCAAAACAATAACGACACCATAAGAACATACTTTACATACATGCTTCTGTCACTGGCTTGGAAGTCTTAAAAATAGCAGGAAGAAAAGGAATAAGGTCTAGAGTCGTCAAGAAAACGGAACCTCCAAAAATGTAGCTTACATTTATTCAAAAAATATAACTTACATTTTTAAAGGTGTCCCTAAGAAAATGTAACTTGCATTTTTTAAGCCCAAAGTTGCAAAAAATGTAGCTTACATTTAGACAGGTCCCCCCCCCTTAGGGGTGGGGATGTATCCTGACGTTGGGACTTTCCCAGAAGTCAGTGCTTCACATCAAGCCTGATGTTTTCATACTCCAAATCTGCTGACATCATGTGTGTCATAAAGGCGGAGACAGGGTCCTTCGCTCACTCAGCCACGCAGGTGACGCGAAATTCCACGCCAATGCATTCAGGAATGATTGAAGCATCCTGATTTCTCTCGTCGAACATGTGTTCGGGTAATTTGTTGAGTAGCAAATCAGGTTACAAGATCTGGTTATTAGGCACTCTGCTTTCAATCCGCTCCAAAAAGCGATGTTTAGGGTTTGTCCTTTCTGTGCTCTCATCTGATTGGGCCGTGTTTTCGTGTGGCCAACTCCGCTGTTGGGCCGCACGGCAATGTGGACCTTCATCCGCCGGTTCCCGTGTAAGCGCCGGTCCAGGTTCCGTTCTTAGGTTCCGGGTGGACAACGGAAAGATGGCCAGTTGGTCCCAACTCTCATCAGTTTAGAACCAACCAGTTTAGAACTCTCATTCTTAATCTATTGTGTTGGAGCTGATGCAGGTTGTGAGTTCGAGACCGCCGTCCCATTCAAGTCGCGGCTTCTCTGTGTTCTCCCAGAAGGAAAGCTTTGAGTAGCGCTGGTTCGCAAAATGGTGACCGAAAGCCTGTGTCGTCGCCCAAGCTTGCCGACTGGCGGTGGTCAGCGGCAAGCGTTCTTGTGTTGTAAGTTTTGCCTCAAGGATTCATGCCATGCCGGGGATGACATCATGTCCTGGACATCATGTCGTGCCCAGAAAGACATCATGTCATGCCTGGGGTGACATCATTTCGCGCCCAGAGTGCCAGCATGTCATTACAGGGACGACGTCATGTCCCGCCAAGGTTGAACATCATGTCTTGCCAGGGATGACATCATGCCGTGCCAGGATGACATCATGTCATGCCAGAGATGACATCATGTCATGCCAGGGGTGACATCATGTCGTGCCAGGGGTGACACCATGTCACGCCAGGGATGACATGTTGTCATTTTTGCATGACACTGTGTTGCGCAGCAATGATCATCACGTCGCTTGGGCAGCTTTGGCTTGTCCTTTCCGGTCTTGCAGACTTACGTTTGCGTTGGGTTGTGGGGCAAAGCGGGCGCATTAGATTGTATGTGGCAATGCGGGCTTTCTTCCCGTCAGCCACTCAGCCGCTCAGGATCCTGAGCGGCTGAGTGGCTGACTGGCCCTCAGGAAGGAAAGCCTGAGTGGCTGAGTCGCTGAAACATGAGTGGCTGAGTGGTTGAGTGGCTGGTGTGGAGTAGTCGTCGTAATAGAAGTAGTATTGGTGTTGCTACTGCTACTACCACCGCCACGACCACGATTACTTCTACTCCTCCTCCTCCTCCTGCTGCTGCTGCTACTACTACTACTACTTCTTCTACTTCTACTTCTACTTCTACTACTACTACTACTGCTCCTACTACTACTGCTACTACTACTACTACGACGACTACCACTACCACTACCACTACCACTACCACTACCACTACTACTACTACTACTACTGCCACCTTCAAGAAAAGATCCCATGACCTCGACAACGAGCCAGATGAATTGATCAAACCCGCAGGGCGCGCTTGCAACAAGCACGCCCCACGGGAACGATCAAATGATTTGATAGCCAAAAATCGACTCTCAGACCGGTCCTTGTCGCTGACCACGACGACAACGACTACGTCACAGTGCCAGTACTGCCACCGTTACGACTACAAAAACGACGACGGCGACGACTGCTACTACTAATGCTACTTCTCTTACGACGACTAATCGGCGCCGCAGTGTTTGACACAGTGAAGTGCAGTCCTACGGGGGAGCGGTGTTGGTTCCTCCTCTCAGGCTGCCGTCCGGTGGAGCGTGGACATTCCCATTTTCACCAACGTGCACGCACAGGCCGCGCATTGCCAAATGGCTGGGTTGCATGAACGCAGCCTCGCTGAACATGCTGAACATATTTTTGGACTGCTTCAGAGGGAGGATGTGTAGTGAAAGGCGCAAGTATGAGTTGACAGCCAAGGAGTGAATCAAAAGTCTTGACGGCCCTCCTGCACTGACTTTCTAAGCTTGGATGCGTCCACTGACTTCTAAGCCGAAGAAGAATGTTTGGCATTTTGGCATTTCTGCGAGGACTGCCCATTTTTCGGGGAGTTTGTGTGGAGATTTTGAAGCAGGCTGGTGGTACTAGCAGCTGTATGTTTCCACATGATATTGCGACATCGTTCCCAACATCTCCTGCTTTTACAGGTTGCGTTAATGATAGTGTTCTGCCGCTGTTCAAGTGCACATTCGAAGTTCAACGTTGCTAAATGGCATCAAACGGTCTTCTTGGTAGGATGTCCGAAGTACCTGGTCAAGGATGCCAAACGGCCGCTGTCCATCCGCTGTCTTCGAGGAAGGGGAACTTCACCGGTAATTAGGTTTGGATTTGGTGTTTTTTTTTAGCGTCCTGCAAGCTTTGATGTGTGCGCACGTTGCTTGACTAGGCATGGCGAGGTTTGCTTATTTGATTCATGCCTTTGTTGTTGCGTGAAGCTTCGAGGTTTTCTGAACACTCGGTTTCTTTTACAGGTTGGTGGCGGCTGAGACAAGTCCTTCTGCCTGCGGCCTACGGCCTTCACCTGTTTGAAGGAGCTTGTCATTGACACTGACCAAGCCTGGTTGGGTGCTTTTCGGAAGCTCTGGTCAAGTGCCGCGTCAAGGGACATCAAGTTCTTAAAGCCTGCTGAAGTTGATACAAGTTCTATTGATAGTTATGAATCAAGAATGAATGGATATTGCGATTGTTTGCGATTCAGCAACAGCAAGCAAGATCTTTCGGCGGACATTTTGCCTTTTGCAGTCAGATTGTTGCAATCATTTACTCCGTGGTGTGGTTTAGGATCGACGTTCACTTCCTGATTGCAAACGTGGCTTTGGAGTTCCCAGGTGGAAAGCCTCCCCAGGATTGGTGCTTGACGATGTGGCTGCTGATCTGCCAGCACAAGATGTGATGCCAGTCTTGGTGCCAAAAGCCCTTTGTCGAAACTTGGTCCATCAATAGCTGCCCTGCTTGGAACGCCAGCGCATGCGAACCACTCCGCTGCCAATGCCTTCATGGACTCCTTGGCTTCCATTCTTTCTTGCGTGAGTCCGAACGACGAGCTGGTGTAGCTTGCAAACCGCCACATTGCTTGGACAACTGAGCACTCAAGCCCCTTGCTTGAGCAAGTCTACTGTTGCAAACGCCCCACGGCAATGTCTTGGGATTTCTACATGTTCGGTTGTCGGGTGGTTGATGCACTTGGGCAACTGATGGATTGTGTGGTCTCGCTGTGGGCCTGGACTCTTTTGGGGAGCCGGCAGGCAGGGAAGAGATGTCGCCTTCTCTTGACATTCTTGTGTTCTACAGCTCTCCATGCTGGCTTTCAGCGAAGCTATGGAGGGCATCAAATGAAAAAAACCACTCTCATGTTTGACTATCCCACGGGGCCGAATTTAAAGAACGCATCTGGGTTCAGGTGGGAAAGGTCAACAGAAAATGCCGCAAAGCTAAATGAAGGAAAACGAAGACCTGTAGAAATGCCAGTTGCTGCCACTTCACGAGGGATCACGGAGCGGTATGTGTAGCTTTTTATTGCAGCATGCAACTCCGAGCTAGAAGCAGCAGATGTGCAGGTGGGGTCGGCAGAAGGCCTCCAAGCTTTGCAGGCGGGGGTTCAAGCTCATGCTTTCCATTTACTTTTTCAGTAGAAAGTTGTGGCTCTTTAGTTCGAAGAAAGAATGAAGGTTTAAACATGACGGCTTTCAGGGAGGACATGCCCACAATACACTTGACAATGACTCTTTCACTGGCAAGAGCCATACACGACTCCATGTCAAGTGCAGTGTATGGCAAGAGTCGTGGCTAGTTCCTCTTCAGGCAGCGCAGCACAGACCTGTTTCGCAGCGCAGACCTTCGAGGCGCGGCAGGAGTTGGGGAAATGGAACGAAGGAGAAGACGTAGAGACAGCGAAGAGAAAAGAAGACATAGCTTAGTTGTGCTCCTGAAAAGGAAATGAAAGACAATTAGCTCTGCAGACTTGAAGCAAAACCATGGACAAGATACAGAAATCGAAGAACTTCTTTTTCCTGAACTGAGCAACGAGAGAACACGCAGAAAAGATTCCCGTCTGAATCGACGTTCGATGTTTGTATCATGATCCTAGATGTGTTAATCCATTGTTTGCCTAAACATGAGCATCCTTGAAATTACAAGGTGTTTATCAACTGCTATCAAGTTAGCATAACCTTGATAGTAAAAAACATGTTTTTCCTCAATGGTTTGTTTTTAAATATGTGAGTTTTCGGCACGAAAACCTCGAGACGATCGATGCCGATGTGTTGCATGTTTGTTTGTGCGCTCAAGCAAGGGCGGGCGCGCATTTCGCTTGAAGCCAAGACGGCTCGCCTCCCGTGAAAAGATGTGCGCTTGAGAGGTGCATTCGGTTCCTGAACTTCGTGTGTCAAGGGATCATTTGTTGTTGGTGGCGCGGAGCCTTTCATTGGTTGGTTGCACATTGTACATTGAGCAACATTGTCATTGCGTGCGATTTCGTTGGTTGAGTTGACTGCATTGACATTGGTTGCTGTCGGTCGTACATTGTGCATTGATGGCCACAGGGGCTGCAGCGCAAGGCAGTGGGTCGGCTTCGACAGCTTATGTTGGAAAAGCTCACGGGAACGTTCCTGAGTTTTCTGGCAAGTCGAGCGACTACAAGGAGTACAGGAAGAGGTTGCTCCTGTACGAGAAGAAGATGAGTTTGGCCGGCAGGTCCTCAGAGACCAGTTTCAATGTGCTGGTGACATTGAAGGGTCGTGCATGGGATGCATGTGATGACATCTCCATGTCAGATCTTGAAGGGTCCACCGCCATGCAGAAGATTTTGGAACGGTTGGATAAGGTCTTCAAGTTCGACGCGGTCACGGAGCTTCCTGGAGATTTTGAAGCACTTTTCTGCACGTTGCATAGAAAGAAGAACTCGACGTTGCAAGAATATGCTGGTGACTTTGAACGAGCATTGAGGAAATTGGAAGCCCACGATGTCACATTGCCAGATAAGGTTGTTGGCTGGTATTTCATGAGGAGAGCTGGACTGACCCAACAGCAGAGACAGTTGATCATGAGTGCATTGGGCACTGAGACATTGTCGCTGGACACGGTTCGCAAGGCTATGAACTTTGTCATTGGGCAGGACAGTACACCTGAAGGTCATTCGACCTATTCCACCAAGGCCTCAAGTCGTTGGCGTGCACCATACAAAGAAGCTGTTTACTATGGTGAAGAAGATGAAAGCTTTGATTTTGAGTATGGTGAAGATGCTGACGAGGACCCAGATTGTTTCTGGGCCGATGATGGTGGTGATGATGGAGAAGAAGAAGACGGCGATGATGAGATTCATGCAGTGAATGACGACCTTGCTGCAGAATACGATGAGGTCCTAGCTGGATACACAGAAGCCCGACAACGACTGAATCAGATGAGGATGAGCAGAGGATACTACCCGGTCGTTGCGATGATTCCAGAACAAGCTTCATCCAGTGGCAAGGGCAGTTTTTCATCGCCAAAAGGCAAGAGCAAGAGCAAGGGCAAGGGCAAGAGTCATGCTGGAAAAGGTGGAAAGCAGAATCCATGACCTCCACCTCAGCCAAAAGCCCGTGGCCGTGCAGCTCTTGGTGCAGAACGTTGCTTGCGTTGTGGTCAGGCTGGACATCGAGCCAAAGCGTGCCCCGTTGCTGGCAAGAGAAAAGCGGAGACAGATGCTGACATCAACATGGTTGCTCCATTCGAGTCCGATGAGCCAGATTCCATTCAGCTGGCAGTTGAGGAGAATGGCATTGTGTCTCATGACATCGCCATGATGGACTGTGGAGCAGGTTCAGTGTTGACCTCAGAGGGAAGACTTCGAAAGTACCTCGAGATGTTGATGGCAGCAGGGTTCGATTTGAGCCAGATTCAAGTCTTCCGTTGCAAGAAGGGCTTCAGGTTTGGCAATGGAGAGAAGAATATCACTTCTGTCTGCTCCCACGTTCATGGAGGGCCGCCGCCGTGACATTTTGATGTATGTCATTCCAGATGATGCACCATTCTTGTTTGGACGCCCAATCATGGAGGCATTGGACATCACCATTTCCTATTCGGCAGGCAAGATCAAGTGGGGCCGCAAGGCATGGAAGAAGTGTGCTCGTGGCACTCGAGGCGAATTCATTTGCCACATGGCCTCAGATGTGTCAAAGTTGCTTGAGACGAAGCCTTCCAGATGATTTTGAGCAACATGTTCACCCAGAGTCACTGTCCACACAGATTTTCTTTGATGGTCAGGTGCAGTCGATGCTCAACGTGAGCGAGGACTCGGTGAACAGTGTCATTGATGAGCAGGAGAATTCAAGTTTCACATCAGTGACATCCATTTTGGAGTCACAACAGAGTCCATCGGCTTGTGAGAAGAGTGGACCACCTCCTGAAGACGCAGGGGCACAGCTGATGACGAGCCTTCAATGCAGTGAGATCACGATAGATCTCGAGTCAGATGATGACGTTGTGGTGACAGAAGAGTTGAGTTGCGATCCAAGGGCAAAACCAGATGAACATGAAGCTGCTTGCTCTCCATCCTCCACGCCAGAAGACCGTGAAGTCTTCCAGAAGCTGCCATCCGGCAAGCTTCGACAGCTCATGCATGACACCGAGCGGAGGATCAAAGAGTTTGAAGATGTTCTCAAAGCCTCTCCACTACGGGACTATGACCGCAAGTATGTCTTGTGGGAAGTGTTTGCTGGAGAAGGCCGTGTGAGCAAGACAGCTGCAAGGCGACAGAACATGCAGAGTGAACGTTTCTCATTGAGTGATGGTTGGGATTTTGCTCAGGCCTCCCACAGAATGGCATTTCTTCGTCGTTTGAAGTCTGAGGAGCCAGATTGTGTGTTGATCTCCCCTATGTGCAAGCTTTGGAGCAGTCTGCAAGAGCTCACGTGTGCAGCTCATGAAGGCTATGCTGAAACCCTGGACATTGCACGACAGTGGGACCACGACAACATCCTCATGTTTTGTTCAGTGATTTTTGAGCATCAGAGGAGGAAAGGCAAGCTGGCGTTGTGTGAACATCCCAAACGTTCACGTGCTTGGGCTACTCCGGCATTCCAAGCGATGAATGGGCATGATGCTCATGTGGATCAGTGCATGTTTGGTTTACGCCTTCTCAATGATCACAATGAGATGCTGCCAGTTCAGAAGCCCACGACATTTCGAACCACCAGAGCATCCTTGTCAGAGAGGATCAGCAAGCATTGTGATGGAACACACTCACACACTCACTTGGAAGGCAGTATTCCTGGTGTTGGTGTGCATTCCTGGCTTGCAGAGAGTTATCCTCAGGCATTGGCCAGTCACCTCGTGAATGCTATCATTGCTGAGCTTGAATCTGATGACATCTTTGCTGTCGAGGATATGCCATCGGCTCAACAAGAGATTGCAGACTACATGGCTGGTCGTCATCAAGGAGCTGAACGTTTTGTCGGTGAGCCTAAGGCAGCAGATCCCAAAGATGACAAGAGAGCAGTAGCACTCGAGTCTGAAGAGTTTGATAGCTTGGATCCAGTGCGAAAGAACAGAATCCTACGATCCCAGGTTGGACCTCGTGCTGTTGAGTATGTGCAACGGTTGCACAAGAACCTTGGCCATCCAGGTTGGGAAGTTCTTCATCGCATGCTGAAGGAGATTCAAGCAACAGACAATGTTCTTCAGGCTGCAAAGTTTTACACATGTCCATTGTGCTATGCTCGCAAGCCTCCAAAGGCAAATCCACCTGCAAGTGGGCTGAAGTGTACTGAGTTCAATGAAAGGATCCTCGTTGACAGTCACTGGATTGCGTGTGAAGACAGCATGGTGAAAGAACGAGTTCCTGCACCAGGTACACCAGCAGCTCGTCGCAGAGAGAAGGATAAGAAGGAGAAAAGGCCAACAGGTCGACAGTGCGTGTTGACAATCGTCGACCATGCCACAAGATATTGTGCAGTTCGGATCCTACAATCTGAGCGCGCTGATGAGTTCACAAAAGGTCTTGAGCGTGCTTGGGCGAAGCATTTTGGAGTTCCGAAGATCCTGCGCATTGACGAGGCAAAAGGTTGGTCGAGTCAGCATGTCAGAGAATGGGCCACACAGCGTGGTGTGACGCTGGAAGTGCAACCTGCTGAGAATCATAGCTGGCTTGGTGTTGTTGAGAGGAAGCATCAAGTTGTCCGACGAGCGTTGGAATTGTTTATGGATCAGTGCGACAGTCATGATCTCAAGTCGTTGAAGAAGGCCGCACTGTATGTTCCTCACTCAATCAACCAGCTCAGCTTTCATCGTGGGTTCACTCCTCAGCAGTGGGTTCTTGGCAAATCCATGACCTATGTTCACGGTCTCAGTGGAGAGTTTTTCAATCCTGCACAAGAGGCCATCGATGAACAGGGCAATTTCGCTCAGATCCAGGCCAGACGGACAGAAGCTGCAAAAGCTTTCATTGCAGCAGATTCAGATGCCAAGTTGCGCCGAGCCTTCACTCAGAAGTTTGCTGAAATGCAAGAGGAGCTGGTGATTGGTCAAAAGGTTTGGTATTGGCGCAAGCATCAACGAAGGTTGCAAAAGTCCGGTTGGCGTGGTCCTGCAAGGATTGTTGCAATAGAAGAGCAGCCAAGTGTCAATGTGTATTGGCTTTGTCATGGCACATCGTTGTTACGTTGTGGTGCACGACAGGTGAGGCCAATGGTTGAAGACACTGGAATGCCGGTTGCGTGTGATCGGCAAGCAGCCCTGCGTGACTTGCAAGAGTTGAAAGCCAGGAGCACCACACAGTTCAAGGATGAACTTCGACGCAGTGGCCAGATCGACGAAGCAGATGAGCTTGACGGAGATGATGTTGAGCTTGATGCAGAGTACACCCCCT